TGGAGTGAGACAGAATCTCAGTGTTGTTTTAATTTGAATCAAATGACCAGTGATGTTGAACATTTTTTTCATATATTTATTTGACATTTCTACTTCTTCATCTGAGAAGTGTCTATTCATTTCAGATGCCCATTTTTGGGTTGGATCTTATTTATTTTTTTATTTTTTGGTACCAGGAATCTAACTCAGGACCTTGTGCTTGCCAGGCAGGTGCTTGTGCTGCTGAGCTAAATCCCCAGCCCGGGGTTGGATCTTTAAATTTGCAGGGAGGTTCTGATGTTTTTGAGTTCTTTATATGTTCTCAGTAGTAATCCTTTGAGGAACAGCTGGCAAAATTTTGTTCCCACACTGTGGGAACAAAATGTGGGAACACTCTGTTGGTGTCACTCTTCACTCTGTTGGTGATTTCTTTTGCTGTGCAAAAGCTTTTTAATAAAATGAGATCCCAGTTGTTCATTCTTTGTGATACTTTCTGTGAGATTGGGATTTTGTTCATAAAGTCTTTGGCTACACCGATGTCTTCAAGAGTGCTACCTATTCTATCTTACATCAGATCTAGTGTTTCCATTTTAATATTTAGAGCTTTGGTCTATTTCAAGTTTAGTTTCTTGCATGTTGAAAGATATGGCTCTTTAATCTTCAGCATGTGGACAGCCAGTTTTTCCAACACCATGAATAAAAGAGGCTATCTTTCTTCCAGTGAACAAGTTTGGTCCCTTTTCAAAGATAAAGTGGCGGAGTAGGTCTGGAGTTGTTTCTGCATCTTTTAATCTGTTCCATTGATTCTTAGGTTTTTTTTTTTCTTTCCTAGTCGCCTGCTGTTTTTATCACAGTAGCTTTTTTGTTTGTTTGTTTGTTTTTGCCACACCCCCCCACCGGAAATCGAACTCACGACCTCATGCTTGCCAGGCAGATGCTGTGCCTCTGAGCTAAATCTCAGCCCCCCACAGTAGCTTTGTAGTATGATTTCAGTCAGAGATTGTGATGCCCTCTGCCTTGCCTTTGTTGCCCAGAACTGTTTTTGCTACTCTAGGTCTCTCTTTCTAAATAAATTTTAGGATTGTTTTTTCTAATTCTGTGAGAAATGCTGTTGGAATTTTGATCAAGACTATATTAAATCTGTAAACAGTTTCAGAAGTGTGGCCATTTTCACTATATTGGTTCTTCCTATCCAAGAAAAGGAATATCTTTCCATTTTCTGATATCCTCTTTGATCTCCT